GGGTTATTCGCTTTTACAAGAAAACTACAATGTTTTGCTGATTGGGTGAAGAGTTTTCTTATTTGTGTGTAGAGTTTTGCAAAAATAGCCAATAGTTACAAAAAATGTGCTCAAGCCATCAGAAAAAACTGTAAATACAGCAAATATAGTCTGACTAAGTTAGATCAATTTTGCAGTATTGTAGTCATCAGTTAGCACTTTATACAAGACCTAATATTAGTTATCAAGGAACTATTTATTAGCGGTGGTTATTATAACGTTTTAATGTTGTGTGGTGCATGTTTCTTTTTTTATTTGATGGACAATATTGCTTCTTCACTTGTCACCTTGCTGTCATTGTTGGTTCTTACACAACATGTTGAAGGAAGAGCTTCATTAGTGCAATGACACCACGACTCTCACATTTACCATTTTTTTATTGTAAAGGTGGTTTCTTACAAAAGAGTCACATGGTACAGACATAAAGAAACAAAAGAAAGAGCCCTGTAAATAAAAGAAAGTGACTTCAGAGAAAACATCTACAGAAAACACACCTTTGTGTTGACATTCTTATAAAAAATGCAACAAATTCTGCTAAGTAATGCAAAAAAAAAAATCCCCAAAAGATTTTACAGATCAGTTTTATCTTCTCAAAGCGCAGTAAAGACAATACATGGGAAAAATGTGTTGTAACCAAGATCCCAGTAACAGTCTGCTGTACATTGATCTATCCTACAGGTTTGAATACTGTAGAAACTTCTATATCCGCTACAGTACATATGCCTTTTACAGCCAGCAGATGTGTAAGATGTCTAAGACACTTCTAAGGCTCCGTCTGAACAAAGCAGATACGGTCATTTCGCTAGTGTTTTACGACCGCAACTACAGCTGATGAAGCGTGATGTCCAAATAAAACATAATCATCTCTGAACATGCTAAAATGAACTCTTCTGACAGAATGAGAGCTATCGCAGGCTTGATGCTACATCAGCTGAAATGACAGATAAACAGCAGTACAGTATATAAAGACTCATTTTAACAGTATAAAACATCTCCACTGAAATGGTCTGTTCATAAGGAAAGTGGTTTTTAGTAATTACATAGCAGTGTCATTTATATGCGTTGGTTAGATAGTGAATGTACGTATATCCTCAGATTTTTAGAGACTTCTGTGTTACCATCTATGTCTTGCAAAAAAAAAAGAAGAAGAAGATTTTCACAGTTAGTTTGCAGTCAATTATTAAACCCTTGGGATTTTTTTCTCACCAGAACCGAAGCTCATTTTTAAAGCAGTGGGTAATACATCCTAAAAATGTTTCCGTTTCCATTATCTGACGTTAAGTTTATTTCATACAACAATAACACTGGAGCAGCACATTAACATTTTGAGAAACAGGCTTCTTTTACACTGATCCGATTGAGTTGGATGTAT